CCCCCCCCCAGCTCCAAGCCACACAAGGTTTGCAAAGTCAATACCTTTTCTGCAGTTGTCATCAAATCCAAATTTGATCGCCTCTTAAAAAAAGAAAAAGAAAAAAGAAAAAAAAGACTTTGGAGTTGAAAGATTTGACTTTAATGAGAAAATCCAGTTAAAGATAATTGAGCCACATGCTCTACTTCCTGTCAAGGCTAGATATCTTTTTTCAACATTAGCACGTGGCCGAACGATCCGACCCTTCCTCGTAATCTGCAGCCACTTCTATGTCCTCTCTGCACCCTCTGGCACAGTTTGTTTGTTTTGCAGTCCAATTGAATGGGGACATTTTGGCCTCTTGCATCTGATCCTACAAGGTAATGATCGAAGAAACAGCTTCTGAGTATTGGTGTCCATGTCAGCCTTTGTGTGTGCTCACAGAAGACTGACGCTTTCAGTTGTTGGAAGTTTAGGATGTTGGAACTATATATTTGAATATTACAATTAAGCATGCAAACCCCAGGACACGAGATGTCGGCTGGCACAGAGCTGGGAGTTTTCCATATTAAGTTCAAGATTTAGAAATAACTTCTGACCTGGATTTCTACTAATGCATGCTGCTAATATCTCATTTCATCCTGAGGTGTTTCTAAATAAGGGCTCCACAAGTTGGACGTCCTTGTAATCTATCTCCAGACAGACTAAAGTGCTCAAGTAAAACCTTTCCAGGGATCCTAGTCTTCACTCTTTAGGAACTTGTGTTTGTCAATAACAGGCTAACATTTCCCATGGCAGAAGGGCTGATTGCAGACACAATAATGCAGATATTTTCTCAGATAGTTTAAGTGTTTACATCTCTGCCTGAAATCTGTCAGATTTTATAGAAAGCTATCCCAGAACAGGTTTAGCTTTCTACTGATGTTCTGAGTTCTTCAGGCTCTGACGAAGGAGATGGCAGGAAGTCCGCCACTTTGTTCCAGACTGAGATACTTGAGACAGTCAGAAGATGGATTGGTGTGAAATTTGTGGTCCCAGGAAGATAAAAAAAACATTATTCAGAATCAGAATACTTTAATAATCCTTAAGGAAATTATGTGGGTTACAGTTGCTCCAAGACAATAAGGTAATAAGACTGAACTAATTAAATAATACAGGGTGGGCCATTTATATGGATACACCGTAATAAAATGGGAATGGTTGGTGATATTAAAGTCCTGTTTGTGGCACATCAGTATATGTGAGGGGGCAAACTACTCAAGATGGGTGGTGACCATGGTGACCATTTAGAAGTCGGCCATCTTGGATACAACTTTTGTTTTTTCAATAGGAAGAGGGCCATGTGACACATCAAACTTATTGGTAATGTCACAAGAAAAACAATGGTGTGCTTGGGTTCAATGTAACTTTATTCTTTCATGAGTTATTTACAAGTTTCTGACCACTTATAAAATGTGTTCAATGCTGCCCATTGTGTTGGATTGTCAATGCAACCCTCTTCTCCCACTCTTCACACACTGGTAGCAACACCGCAGGAGAAATGCCAGCACAGGCATCCAGTATCCATAGTTCACTTTACTCAAATAGCACCTGCAGTCCCAGTCACCAGATTTCAATCCAAAAGACCCAGCATCTTTGGGAAATGCAGTCAACAAGTCTGCAACAACTGCATGATACTATCGTGGCAATATGGACCATGCTCTCTAAAGAACGTTTCACTTTATTGAGTCTATGCCATAAAGAATTAAAGCAGATCTAAGAGCAAAATGGGGGCTCAACCCACTATATCCATAGTACTTCATGCCAATAAGAGTATTTCTAGGAAAGCTTTTGTTACCTGTAAGGGTCTCTTTAGCTTCCAGCATATCAGTATCAGAATGCGGCCTGGTTCCTCCACTGAGGATTTCATCTGAGGCCTCTTTTTCTTGTTTGTCTAAAGAAGTCTAAGGACACTAATGTACACTTAGGAGTGTACATTACAACAAATTCATCCCTTGATCAGGTCAGTCTTTCTAATTGTACTGGGTGTAAGAGTTTGGAAGGTAACCTTTCCTAACCCTTGTTTGGAAGTGTTGCCTGCAGAAACCTTCATCTTCTTAAAAAGAACAGGTCAGCATGTCTTAGCTTTGCAAAGTTGCATCTGTGCAAACCACAAGATAACTGTAACTATGTGAAAACCAACACTGCTGAGCATTGTTGGTTTTCACCAACAATGCTCAGCAGTGGCAATGGTTGGTGAAAACCAAACACAGCATATCAGCACAAACACATCATACGGGTGACGATCTTGGCACCTTGCATTCATTTAGTTAAGCATGAACTCCTCTGTATACCAAAATATTCTACAGTCAAATGTATGAGAGCTAAAGTTTGGCTCAAATTGAGTCATGCAACAGGACAACAATTCCCAGCACGGCAGGACAACTACAAAAGAATGGCTGAAAAAGAAAAGAAACCCGATATTGCAACAGGCCAGTTAGAGTTCAGACCTCAACCTGATTGAAATGCTGCCGTGTAACTTTAAGAGAGCTGTTCTCAAACCTCTGAAATGAAGCAACGCTGCAAACAAAAGCATGCCAAAATTCCACAAAGTGACAAGACTGATAAAGTGAGAAAATGAACTAATGATAAATTCAAGTTATTGCTGCTAAATGGTGGGACATTTTTCACAGGACTGCACAGATTCCTGTAAAAACTTTCTTTTTCACATGACTCCACATCCCACAGGGTAATGCATACACCCCTTCAACAGAGACTTGCCTCAGTACATGTGAACCAAAATTAGCCAAGAGTTCTCAGAACTGTCATGCAGTTGTAGCACATTGTGATACTCTCAGTATTTGAACAGTGTTATATCACTGTTTGTTCAAAGAGCTGTCTCAGATTTACACAGCCAGCTCTCTCCTGCTGATGCAATGACCTAAAAAATAACTGGTTTCTATTCAGTAAACAGAAATGAGCACATGATGTTCTGTTTTATGTAATGTTGACTGTATAATTTGATTCTATTTTCATAGTGTGCCCTATGTGAAATATTTTCTGCAAGCAACATGAAGACAGAGCTTTTACTTCATGAGGTCAAATGGGAGCCAAAATTAAAAAAAAAAAAAAAAAAAAAAAAAAAAGGATTTCTGCATGTGCCAACTGAGCAAAGGTTACTGTGTTGCCTAAGAAAATCTGTTTGCATTAATCACGCCATGCGGCCTCACTGAATCACTCTGGACTGTCATAAATCAAGTTTTTCAAGGAAACTTTCCCCCAAGAGTGTGTGCTATATTTGAATTGGCTCTGCTTTCAGTGCAGAGTCCCTGGCACTGTGCGAACATGTATCTAAATCATCGGCCACAGTCCTTTCAGTGCTCAACGCACTACTTTCCACTCCTTCTCTGGACATATGTAATTGAAAAATAGGTAATTTTATGCTCTGTCTGATTCTTCTACATGCTGATGGAACTCCTAAAGCTAAAGATGATGGTGGCACAGCACTAAAAACAAGAAAGCGCATACACAGGAAGTTTGACCTAAAGCTCATTGTAGAGCAAATGGACATGACAGACTGCACCTGGAGGTGTCCACAAACAAATTTTACACAGGAGACAATTCACACATTCCTGCACACTACAGGGCAAACATTACTGGACAGTGATTAATGCCGTGTTGCTGAATTCAAGCAGCACGACACAGCAACACTGCAGAGCCTTTAGACTATTGTCTCAATAATGGTAGTGTGCTGGTTTGTTACTGACCTAATTTAAAAGGTTTGTGAAATGTGTTTTGACAGTTTTATGAGTTATACTATTTACCTGAAATGCAAGAGTGCTAACATTGATCAATAAACTTCAAACCTAACAGAAATTTTAGTTTATCAAATGATGATAAATAACAAGGAAATGCACAGATCGGGTAAAAAGTAATGCATCTGTCCTTAAAAGGTTTTCAAATTAGGTAAGTGCAACTTGAGATGAACAACAACATAAAAACGAAGCCAAAAGGCTCAGTACACCCCATGACTCGGTAGCTTGTAGAAGCACATTTAACAGCAAAAACTTTACAAGTCTCCTACACTGTTGTGAAGGAAGTTTGGCCTCCTCTTATTTACAACATTGCTTCAGTTCATTGAGGTTTGTGGACATTCATTGATAGCTCTGTTAAGGTCATGCCGTTTCAATCAGGTGGAGGTCTGGACTTTGACTGGACCATTGCAACATCTTGCTTCTTTTCTTTCAGCCATTCTGTTGTAGATTTGCTGCTGTGCTGTCTTGTTGCAACACACTATTTCAGCCGAGCCTCAGCAGTCTAGAATACTCTAGAATACTTTGGGATTGATTTGGTTCATGGTCGACTCAGTGACTGCAAGATGTCCAATTCATCACTGCATTTTGGTCTTGCCTGTCCAAAG